AAGATTAGAAGACTGGCAACAAACGTGGAAGATGGAATTTAATCCTTCAAAGTGTAAGATCATGTGTTTTACAACCAAGAGAGATCCACCAAAGCGAGAATACGTATTCTGTGGACAAATCCTAGAAGAAGTAGAATCTCACCCTTATCTGGGGGTAATGCTCGATAACAAAATGAGGTGATCACCGCACATTCAAACAATCACATCTAGAGCAAATAAGGTCCTAGGACTTATCAAGCGAAACCTGTGGAATTTTCCAAAGTCAGTGAAAGAAACCGTGTATATGACAGTTGTGAGGCCAAAACTCCAGTATGCCTGTGGCGCATAGGACCCACATTACCAGAAAGATAGAGCTGCTCTAGAAAAGGTACAGCGGAAAGCAGACCGCTTTGTCACTGGGAATTACGATCGAACAGCGAGCGTGACGGAAATGCTGCAAGACCTACAGTGGGAACCACCTGAAACAATGAGAAGACATGCAAGGCTCTCCACTATGTACAAGATGTGCCACAGCCTCCTAGATGGGGATTGGGGTAACAAACAAAGAAAGGAGAACCCGAGGAAGCTATGATTTTAAATTTATTGTACCGAAAGAACATAAAGATATTTTTAGATTTTCTTTTTTCCCCAGGACAATAACTGAATGGAACAAACTTCCAAAAGAAACTGTTTCCAGCCAATCCCTCCGTATTGTTAAAAGCAAACTAACTTAAATTTATTTTATCAGTAGTTTTAAATAGTCTTTAATAATTTTCAATAGTTTTTAAGAGTGTTGTATATTTATTATAGCTTCACTTATAATTATCTTAGAGTTTGCGTGATGTCCTAAACGATTTTGCCGACATAACGATATTTAGATTAGATTTAGATTCCCTGATCCCCCCATATACCATAAGGCTCTGAGCTTTGTAGCATTCTGATGATCGCCTTCATTGGCAGATATAATTTTGTACGAGCCCCCTCTCAGAGTAGTTATGTGCAAATACCAATATTAAAAATCTATGCAGGTAGTTGCCCCTCATATATGCATAAGAATGCCAAGTTTAAAAGGTCGACGTGAAGCAGAACAGCACATGCCACAACTGAGCTTGTTCAAGCCCTATCAGAAAACTGTAGCAGCGAAACCAGAGGGGAGAATAGAGATGGTTATTGGGATAAAGGAAACACTCATTTTTCGAAAATTTGTTCTTTTATACTTTGTTGGAGACGACTGACTCCCCTCCCCGCTCCCCCTAAAAAAAAAATGGAGTCACTCCAAAAAATTCTCCACCCCCACCAGCCAGTTATTTTATTCATTATTAGTTATTTATTTATTGTAATCAGACATGACATGACACTTAGCATAATGACGCACTACCCACAAATAGCAATCTCGAAGTTCACGCGCAACCAAAGCAATCCCGGATTTCTTAACAGTTAAAAGGCTGAAGAATATGTCCCACCAAGAGAGGATAGATATCCTCTTTCGGACAAAAAAAAAACAAGACAAAAAAAAAGCAAAATTGGCTTAAATCTTCAAATTTTGTTGTTTATATTCCGTGTCGATTTTTATATCTTGATCATCCTTAATTCATCTTTGTTTTTTATTACAATGTCCCTATCTCGTTGTTTCCTTCGAAAGCATTGTAAGGCAACCCTGACTTTTTCTCTCTTTGTTGGTTATCCGTACAGCTGGCCTGAATAGTTCCGTTATTCTTACCAGCCTCGACTACAAACACTTCACAGAAAAGCTGCTTTCTTATCTAGAGCCAGTCCTAGTAAGTTCAGGGCGGAGTAGTTTTGTGAGGTGTTGGCGCGCAAAGACTGACGGCTGGGCAGCATCGACATTCCATAGCAACTGTGATGGGAGGGGACCCACAGTGACAATCATCAAAGTGAACAGCTATATTTTCGGGCTATTCGACTGGAAACTGCCAATTTTTCACAGGAGCACTTCATTTTACTCCATCTGACACTGAAGTTTTTTACGAAATAATAAACTAAACATTGCAAAACTACGCAGTCTAAGTAAGTATGAAGTATGTACAGTAACAGTAGAGTTAATGGAGTTACTGCCTCCTCACACAAGGCCTGGTTAACAGAACTAGCTCTGTTTCTGACATCTCATCTCACCCCTCTTTTGGTCGCAAATTTGCATTGTTTAATCAGTATAGAAAAGTGAGTTAGCTCAGATACCAAAATTTCGGCTTTGGCAGTTTTTGTCGTTGTTCTTGCTGTTTTTGTAAGTGGCTATTCGGCTAATCACTATGGATTTTTCGCAGGATCCCTTTTTCTTTTATTTTATCATTTTTATTTTGCCATTTTTCAAGCTTAAAAATTATATCAGTCAAGTTGGACCTATAGAAATGAATCGATATCTGTACGGGAATAACCGGAGATCGAAATTTGAAATAAAAATGTAATCATCGAACTCAAATATCAAGAACGTTTCACCCATGGTTCCACTTCTTGTTTATCGTATTTAATCATTTAATCCTTTAGCTCGACTAAACTAATAGATTTTAGCCAGTTAGAGGTGCGGCTAAGATCTCAAGAGATCATAATCCTGTTGTCAGAGAAAACTAAAAAAGTATATATTAATAATAAGTCTCAGGGGAGATTGGAGGTGGATGGAGACATAAGAAGGTTCCAGTCTCCAGTCAGTAAAGACGAGTGATAGGGCGAGTTAACCACAAACGGCCGTTTGTGGTTATCTGAAAAACGAATGACCGAGAGCCTGCTACAGACTGACAGATAAAAAGCTCTAATATCCACGTTTAGCTTCACATGCGAGACGGCGTTCTTTAATATTTGTACTTTCGGAAAAGAACATTCGCCACTCTTCTGTTTCCTTCAGAGAGCAGACTCACAATCTGTACAGCAGTCTGAGCACTCTGACGTCACACGATTGATCCCCGAGTAAATCAATAACGGTTTTGATCGACATTACACCGAATCTGTTACACCTATTATTGGGATTGAAATGAACAAAGAAACTGATTTTAAATGAGCGGAAGTAATCAAAGTAGTTGTCCTCTTAGTCTTCAAAACCAAGAAAGACTGACAGACTTTAAAA